TCCTGAAATCATTGCTGCACTATACGCTAATTTGCATGTAAATTTTAAAAAATAAATAATAAAATAAATAAAATAAAATGGGTTTGGAAACTTCCTCTGTCTTTCCCTCCCCGAACTGCAAAGGATAATCAGTTGCCCCTCACAATTGCACTGCAGCTCTATCTGCCCACAGGTCCTGTCCCCACGCTTTATAAACCACTTTTTTTGCACTAAAAACATCTCCAGAATTCTTTTTTTCTTTGTTTCTTTTTTTTTTGAGAGACAGCGAGACAGAGTGTGAGGGGTAAAGGAACAGAGAGAGAGGGCGACACAGAATCCGAAGCTCTGGGCTCGAGCTCGCTTTCACTCCTGAGCCCCACTTCCCATCACATCTTGCTGAGGACTTGGACGGAAGGCCAGCACACTGCTAACGGGCTCAGTTTCTGACACCGAGTAAGGTTGACCTTTAGCATCACGTATTCCACCCGCAAAAAAAGTGGGTTTATTGGCACTAGCAAGAATTGCAAATCAGGACACGCAAGAATTGGCAAATCCATGCGCAAGTTCAGAGAGGAAAGGGGAGGATGCTCTTTTACGGGTAAGGGGGAGGCGGGGGGAGGGGGAGGACGGTGGGGGCGGAGTTGGGAGCGGCTGTTATAAAGAAAAAAATCCTTGGGGGCAAGTCGGTGGTTAGACGATGGTGGCTTCGCATTGGCTGCGCTGTGTCCGTCTCTCATTGGCTGGACTGTTGCTGGGCAGAGGAAAGCTTTCTCACGCGGGCGGGGGCAGTAAAGTTGTGTGCGCCCCGCGCCTCTTTCGTGTGGAGTCTACAGCTGCCCGGGGATTGGATGGGGAGCGCCCCCTGCCGGCCTCCTGCCCTCATTGTGGAGGGTTCGCTTTTGTATTCATTTTCTTTCTGGTGTGATTTTCCTTAATTCTTTTGCGGCTACCACCTTTTAGTTCTAGAAACGCCTTAGTCATTCCTAATGATGCTTATGTAATGGCCTTTGACAAAGAACACCGGGAGTCGCCCTCTTGCAGGTTAAGATTGGGGGAGGGGGAGGGGCGCCTGGGTGGCTCCCTCCTTTAAGCATCTGACATCAGCTCAGGGCATGATCTCATGGTTTGTGAGTTCGAGCCCCGCGTGGGGCTCTGTGCTGACAGCTCGGAGCCTGGAGCCTGCTTCGGATTCTGTGTCTCCCTCTCTCTCTGCGCCCTGCACCCCCCTCCCCATGCTGTCTCTTGCTGCCTCTCAATAATAAATAATTGTTAAAAAAATTTTTTTTAACATTGGGGAATGGGGAGACAGACACGCATCTTCCCTGCTTGCCTGTGAACAACCAGAACAGTGTTGTTGGTGAGGTGAGTCTTAGAGGTGGTGGGAATGAGTTCTTACACGGAACTCCAGGCATAACTGCCTTGAGGAAACTGCTAATTTCTGGAAATGCTGCTTCCCCCTGTGTGTTTTCCAAATAGCTCTTAAATGTTTACATGAAAATTGATACCACGATTGGAAACCTGTCCTTCCCCCCTTACTTATTCTCGCTAGGAATAGTGCTGACTATGCTGAACAGGACGTTTCTTCCCGTGATGGGTGGGTAATTGATTGGCAATGCTCCACCCAGTGGTGTCTCCTTGTGTGATGCCAGTGGAGACAAATGGGCCAGGCCTTTCTCTTTTATTCAGATCACTCATGGTTCTGTTGATACGCCCCCAGTTGACACAGATCAGTTCCTTTTTTTTTTTTTTAATTAAAAAAAATGTTTATTTATTTTTGAGAGAGACAGAGACAGAATGTGAGTGGGTTAGGGGCAGAGAGAGAGGGAGACACAGAATCCGAAGCAGGCTCCAGGCTCCGAGCTGTCAGCACAGAGTCTGACGTGGGGCTCGAACTCACAAGCTGCGAGATCATGACCTGAGCCGAAGTCGGACGCTCAACCGACTGAGCCACCCAGGCGCCCCAAAGAGATATTTTGATATAACTCTCTGCCAGTTAAAGGTGAAGAGAGTGTCATTTGTTAATATACAGGTCATATTTAAACACAGTTCAGAAGACTATTCTGGGAAACATGCAGAGCATCTTCTATCTGGGTAAACTTGTATCAGAGATACAGGTACAGGAGGTTGGTGGGAATAGGAAAGTGAAAGAGTAAAATAGTGATTTCACGTAACACTGGAAGTTGATACCTAAATTCATGACAAGGTATATGCAGTACAAACACACACATACTCTGGGTTCAATATTCTACCCCCACATTTCCTGTCTACGTGGAACCTCAAAATACAGCCTTATCTAGAAATAAGGTGTTTGTACATTTAAGGAAGATGAGCCACACTGGATTAGGGTAGGTCTTGACCCAGTGATGGGTGTCCTTATAAAACGGGGAAATTGGGACACAGAGGCCTGCGCTGAAGACAGGGCTTGACCATGTGAGACAGAAGAAGGGATTGGCATGATGTGTCTACCCGCCAAGGAATGCAAAGGGTTGTGGGCAACCCCCAGAAGCTGGGAGGGAGGCCTGGGACAGACTGTCCTTCAGAGCCTCCAGTAGGAACCAACCTTGCAGACAACTTGATCTCAGGCTTCCAGGTGACTCATTTGTGACACCACAAACGTTTGTCTGGCACTGTGTTACAGCAGCCCCATATAATGAATGCATTCTGGAGGAGGGAGGGGACCTTGGATTCAAAGGATACCAGAAGCCAGTGTCGCTGCAGAGGAGTGAGGGGGGCGGAGGGAGGAGGAACAACAGACATGAGAGGAGTGGATGGGGTGGTTTCCATGCGCTGGTTGACCAAGAAGTCTCGCTTTGATGGTGGGTGGTGTGGATGCCCAACATGAGCCGATCGGGCAGCCTCACAGGATCCCTCTGTTACCATGACAATGGGCACTAGGCTGGTGATGTCCCCCAAGATGGTGGATCATGCTGGGCTGTAGCAGTGGCAATGACG